AATGGCTATATAGTAAAAACGAATCCTTGCAGCCTGAACAGCTGCAAGCTTATACTCATCTTCTTATCGAAGCTAAAAGTAAATATTCACCAACTCTTAAATCTTTTACAAACACACATGTTATTTTAGATAACGTTGAGACATTTTCTCACGTGACTGTAAATTATAAACTAATGCCTCCAGTGAAAATTAAGACGCGTCCAGCTATTTTCATTTTAGAGAAAATTAATTTTAGGGATCAAAAAGAGTTCCAAACTGCTGACAGCATTGAAGTTGCCAGAAATATTGAAGCAAAGGAGATTTCTTCAGAAGAAACAATTGTTCAAGTCATAAGTTATGACAATCAAGTTTTTGATACGTCAGTCACAGAAGCTGATGAGACTGTAGTTGAGTCGAACATTGAAGAGAATGTAAATATAAGGCATAAAAAAGTGCCAGAGGAGAATACTAAAATAAACGAAGCGGAAAAACGTTATGATAATTCTCACGAAGTGGAAAAACGTTATAATAATTCTCACGAAGTAGAAATAGATAATTCAGAACAAAAATCCGAAAAGGATTTAAATTCTATTACAAATGACCATGTAAGGTCTTATAGACAAGAAAGAAAGAAAAAAGCAATAGCGAAAATCAAATCAGAAACTCGTAAAGAAGTTGTAGCTTCAGCTAAGGAAAGGTTAAGAGAAATAATGAAGAGACATAAGAATGTTGCAAAAGAGCTTTCTGAAAATATGATATTGGACGGCAAAATTGAAACCAAAGAAGAAGACGGAAGGGGCGATATTCCTGAATCTGAACCTTTTTTTGAGTTAGACAATTCTTCAGTGATTGTCGATGAACCAATTGCTTCTGAAACAAAGCAAGAAAATGATTTGACTGTTGATATTCAATCCACAGACACAGCCAGCCTTACAAATGAAAACATAGATACCATTGTAGAAGAAGTAATTACGAGACTAATAGATAGAAAGATTTATGATGATAAGACTAAGCCAGAGGATATCAAAGCAGAAGATAGGCTTACGATACAGAAAATTGTGGAAGAGGTTCTCGCAGAAAAAATGAATTATAAATCTAACACTGAATAAGTAATATTAAGCAAGCTAAATGAATGTACATACTTAATTATATGATTATTTATTTTCTATATTTTTGATCTCGTATAACTATCGAGTATCTCTTTGGAATGAGCTGTTGGTCGTTACAAATGTGGCTAACATGTGTCAAGGATTAGGAGTATTTTTTATTCAATTTATACACTTCTTGTTGTCGTTATTTTTTGTAAAATATATTTAAATATACGTTATATAACGTTACTGTATCCTTTTTAACTAATTTTACTCTATTAAATCACAAATCTATCCGAACATTTTTGTTAACGATATAGACAGTTAAAAATATTCAAATGATTGATGTTACGTTCACACTCTTATAAAGTGTGTTTACAAATATCCCAGGCTTCACTATAATTTAACGTTCCACTGCAATCCTATAACTCAAAAGCCATATTTACTCTTCTTGATGGAGGCGCAGATCAGATATCCTCTTGATGCGGCGTACCTTAACTACCGTCAAATCCCGAGCGGTCGCATGCGACCGCGAGAAAACAGGCTACTTTAGAGTAGTATATGTATATGTAATATACAGTGTGTCCGGTCACGGACTAGCGATATTTTAGGTACTTATAATACAGCTATTTTAATATAAAAATACACTACACACTGAGGTCTAATCCCCTCCCCCTCTATTTGGCAGCCATTTTGTTTTTCTCTTGAGATATTCTCTACGCGTTTACGAAAAAAGTCATATCTCTCAAAGTTTTAGTCCTACTGAGATAAAAATTAACTTATTCGGAGGCCAATAATATTGTTTATCGTTTACATTATCAAAATTTTTGTTGACATACTTGTAACTTTGAAGAAAAAAAATAACTTAAGGGAGGCAGTGCCAGTTGTCACTTAACAAAGGCCTGTTGTGTTTGGGCATACGTCATGTTCAAACAACAATAATTCTTAAAGTAATAAACATACAGCTGTAAACTTTATGTTGCATTGTAGCTTAACTCAAAATCTGTCGATCTAGTATAAAAATAAGAAGCGTAAACGGGGTTGTTTTTGCAGTAATTTACAATAATTTGCCGATTAGCATATTTTTTTGATATTTATTTGAAGTTAAATTTTTTTTCTTCAAAGTTACAAGTATGTCAACAAAAATTTTGATAATGTAAACGATAAACAATATTATTGGCCTCCGAATGAGTTAATTTTTATCTCAGTAGGACTAAAACTTTGAGAGATATGACTTTTTTCGTAAACGCGTAGAGAATATCTCAAGAGAAAAACAAAATGGCTGCCAAATAGAGGGGGAGGGGATTAGAGCTCAGTGTGTAGTGTATTTTTATATTAAAATAGCTGTATTATAAGTACCTAAAATATCGCTAGTCCGTGACCGACACACTGTATATAGTAATGTAGCCTTGCATAATAATTATTTTTATCTAACACTTTCATCCTCTTAGCGTCTCAGCTATCGGCATACTTCACAGAGTTATATAGTAAAGGATGTGATCTCTGTTCCATAATTTTTTTGATCCAAGTGTCGGCCAAAAAAAAATATTTTGCCGTATTCTTATGGTACTTGTTCGTGGAAGCATATGTTATTATGGCACCAAAACTGTAGGGTCATCCTCTTTGGTCTTATAATTCGTGAGTATTACAACAAAAAATAAAAAGACGATTTATATTAAAACAACCTTTTTTATTAAAATAATATTGGTCACTTTAACCATATTCGTGCTTTATACCAGTTTAAAAATTCAGTCAATTAAAATACAAAATTAAATAAATTAACGAACATACGACTCTATAACAAATACCTTTAGTGATCATTAGTTAATATTAAAACCCTAGTCGATATTATAGAAATTAGCAATGTGTTATATTTTAAATCGCATATTCTATCTCATTCTTGTATTTAAGTTCACTTATTTTTCGTCTCAAGTAAAAAAATAAGATGTTTCAAAACGGACTGGGTTTATTTACACTTACCTCAAAAAGTGAGTGAACATACGTGGAGATTTCTAGAAAAATACGTTTTTTAGGGTTATTTTCCAATAACCGGCCAAATTTGAGGCAGGAAGAGAAGAGAAGGTTCAGAATAAGTAATATAGGCAAATGATGAATAAAAATTAATAAAAAAATCTCAAGTATGCTGTCCTGTTTTAAATTCAAAATGCGTGGCAATGCATTATTTTAACTCATTTTATTGATTGCGCACGCACACGTTCGTAAGGGTCGATCGGCAAAAACATTTTATCCATAAATTACATTCAACTTTTTATTTAAAGACCAGTGAACAACTTCAACAGAGGCCTAATAACTAATCTTAATCCTAAATTTTGAATTTAGTGAAGCCAATACCACCAGCCTCAGATAATAATTTATAGGATAAATTACAAAAGCGAGATATGTGAAGGAGGACTTATTACATATGCAATATTACAAAATCACAATTAGTTGGAATTACTTACATTCTAATATAAACTAAAAAAAAATTAACAATATGTAAGTAGACAAGAGATCTGCAATATCGAACTATTTAAAAACATTACAATCTAGTCATAAACAACTAAACAAAAAAAACTGTTAACATTTTGATTTTAACAATTATATAATTTAATTAGCTTTTGATTTATTTCATTTTTTTAGTTCATAAGGCTCATGAGCTTTTTTTTGTTTCCAAAGGAATTAGCACGATTATTAAAAATGTTAATGTCCCAAAAGTGATCATTATAATTTTGCATTAAGCCGATATTATATTATGCCATTATTTTTATTATTATTATACAATAGCATTTTTTTTCCTATTGTTAGTATTGGTTCTACACAAGGGAAGGGCAAATGTTTGACGTGAGCATGTTGATCTTACATGTGACCTAGTAGGTACACGATTTGGGATATTTTCAAATAAAAGTAGAAGCCTTATTTACTTACGTACGTATTTTCAAGAACTGCAATGGCGGTATATCATTACTTATATATTAGGAATTTAAGTTTAAAATAACCCTGTATATACTTAATTGCGACAAAATAACTTGTTTAAATTTACTTTCAATACGGCGTCTCGCCGATTTAATAACACTGTACTGGCCGTCCAGTGTCAACATATACATATTACTTATATTATTTCAAACGTCATTTGATCAAATGAATATAAATTTTAAAACGGTTCTATGTCTGCCCATTTTAATATAATGTCTGCCATTTTGAAACATCTCATTCAAAATAATAAATATGCCTTATAAATAAAGTAACTGTTAAGACTTTGCCATAGATAAATTTTAAAATCTTAAATTTATTTCACAATATTTTTTGCCTTTTCAAAAATATATAACCGATTAGCTAAGAAATAACAATAAAATCACTTTTTTTAACTTAATATATTTTAATCAGATTCATATTGTTTGCACAAATCATTGATAAATATTTAAAACTGTTCTAAATAATATTTTTCCTTTCTCAAATTATGAATGTAATTAGTAACATATATGGAATGGCAATAATTCACAAAAAGTCACAATGTTCACATATTTTCATTTATTTTATGTCGGAAATAAAATTGTATGACTTTTAAATTAAAACTTTTAATTTTAATAAAATAATGCTGACTAGGGGGACCTTCTACAACATAAAAACACAACACCCCTATTATTTGACATACATAAATTTCACATGGACAAACATCCAAAACTAATATTTGTAGGCTATACAAATAGTTTTTCAATTAACTATTAACAAACAATCATATTTGAATCCGCGGCACGCAGCGCCACAGCCAAACGTTTAGCGGCTGCGTTACCGAGCTGACAGGTAAATAATAATAATGGAATTTTGGTGTAAGTTTCGTAGAGCAAATATTTTGAATATATAAATTGTGCCTATCTAGTCTTTAAAATTAATATAATTACGTTCTCTTCATTATTCTATAATGTATTTACATGTTTACACATCCAAGAGTATTTTCCAATCGAATCTTCCGGAGCTGGAGTTTATGGAGGGAGGACAAGGTGGCGAGACCACTTGCCAAGGGTTATCACGCATGGCACCGAGAGCACAATAAGGAACCCTAAGCAGATTATTACTTATTTTATAGTTAGCAGGCCCCAAACGTTTATTTCCATATCTTTTGAGTGCGAAAACCATCAAGTCCAATGTAGCTGCGTGCCCGATAAAAATCACGTTGCCTCCTGTAACACACAAGTCAAGTAAAATTATTGTTTATCTTTCTTTGTTCGCTTGTTAATGCTAATGGTGTCCGCAATATAGATTTACTGTTAACATAAGCTTTGGTTATGGTAATTTCTAATATAAGTAATAATTCGAAATATATGATGATTAACAATTTGATTTATTAATTTCGAATTATAGTCAACCAAATTTAAGAAATACATTTTGACAGCTGTCAGACTTATTACACCAAGCATACCAACTAAAACATGGGAACGTACAATATTCGATTCTTAAAAAATCGATATCGATTATTTACAGTTGGTAATCATTTACAGTTTGGTTTGAATAATACCAGAATAATTTAGAAACGGTTAATTTAAAACACAACATTTATCAGTTTCTTCGTATTTGTTGTCTGTTACTGCTTATTTCTCTTAATTTAAGATTGAAACTAGATAAAAATAAAATTATTCAATCCCTTTCAGTTCAACTAGTTGAGCTGTCGTTTTTTAAATTAATTATTATTTCATTTTCAATAATGTAGCCGTGTAGTGGCGGTTGAGAATATCCACTACCCCATATCTTCCCGTGGGTGTCGTAAGAGGCGACAGAGGGAGACAGGCAGGAGATGGGCAGCAGCATCTTCCTAATAACAACAATAACATAATAAAAATCTGCGGTTGCCAACCCGCTCGCCAAGCGTGGCAACTATGGCAAATATCCCCCCATGAGCAAGGACGCAAATAAACGGCCTCCAGTCCCTGGCGGCCCCGCTATTCCTGGCTACGGTGGCGACCATGGTAACGGCGGGGCAGGGGGTGCTAAGAATCTCCGGTGGAGGTCCGGTTGCCACCTACGACGACTCGACCTGGCAACGTATAACGCATGCACCCTGAGAACTGACGAGAAGATACTGGAGCTGGAAGAAGAGGTAGACAAGTTGCGCTGGGATATTATTGGATTATCTGAGGTCCGAAGAGAGGGGGAGGGGGACACGGTAATCCTCGAGTCCGGCAACTTGTTCTATCACCGGGAGGGCGACCATCTGTCCCAAGGAGGTATCTGATTTATCGTCCACAAGTCTCTCGTCAACAACGTTGTAAAGATTGGGAGTGTGTCGACGAGGGTCGCGTACCTGATATACTCAGAATCACCAAATGGTATTCGCTGAAGGTCATACAGGTCTACGCACCAACCTCGGCACATCCCGATGAGGAGGTGGAGGAAATGTATGAGGATATTTCTAGAGCCATGCATTCCTCCAAAACCCACTACACGGTGTTGATGGGAGACTTCAACGCAAAACTAGGCACAAGAGAAGGCGGTGAGCTGAAGTTAAGTAAATTTGGAATAGGGCAACGGAACCGTAGGGGCCAGCAGCTGGCTGACTTTATGGAGAAAGAGGGACTCTTTATGATGAACTCTTTCTTCCAGAAGCGGCCCCACATGAAGTGGACCTGGTCGAGCTCCGACGGTTAGACAAAAAATGAGATTGACTTCATTATGACGACCAGACGCCAACTGTTCAGTGATGTCTCAGTGATCGCAAGGGTGAAAACCGGCAGCGATCACCGAATGGTTAGAGGCACACTGAACCTTAACGTTAAGTTGGAAAGGTCTGGTCTAATGAAGTCAACGCTCCGTCGCCCTCGTGCTCTGATCCAGAATCCCGAGACTTTTCAGCTCGAGTTACGTAACCGCTTTCAGTACCTAGAAGATTGCAATGCAGTGGACGATATGAATAACAAGCTCGTGGAAACTGTCCATGCGGTTGGACCTAAGTTCTGCAAGACCCGCCGCTGAAGAACACAAAAACTCTCAGATCACACTCTTAATCTCATGGCTGTTAGACGGGAGATGAGGCTGCAATCGTCAACAGATTTGACAGCATGCAGGCAACTGAACACACAGATCTCCAAATGCATCAGCGAGACTTACGCAACTTTAATACTGCTCGTATTAAAGAATCGATCGAGCGGAACCAGGGCTCCAAAGTCTTTGTCAGAGATCTGTCTGCCAGAAAGAGCCAACTGTCAAAGCTGAAGACTGAGTGTGGCAGCATCGTTTCCAAGACACCTGAGATTTTGAGTGAGTTTGAGAGGTTCTATGGGCAGCTGTACACATCATCGTTGGAGCCACACGCAAGTGTGAGTAACGATCCAAGAGCAAGTCTTACCCGACACTAAATGATGGTTGCGCAGCTCACTATGCCCGTCTTGTGCGAGAATATTTAAACCAAGAGTACCCAGGACGTTGGATCGGGCGACTTGGTCCTATCTTATGGCCACCCCGTTCACCCGACCTAAACCCCCTGGACTTCTTCTACTGGGGTTGTCTCAAAGACAGGGTTTACTCAAAACCCATTTCAACATTGGATGAGCTTTGTCAAAATATCACTCAGGCTGCGGATCATATCAATGGTAGAAGATATGCACGACGAATAAAAAGATCTTTTTAAGGCGATGCCGTGCCTGTATTAATGCCGGTGGCCAACAATTCGAACATTTACTGTGATATTAATAATGCAAAAAAAAAATGTAACCCTTTGTTTTGATTCATACAACATTTTTCAGCAAAAATCCTGTGTCACACAGAAGTTTTTCTAGAGTATTATACCATTTAATCTTGGTTAGTTGCGTCAATTTAAAAAAAAAAACTTGCCATAGCAGTGTCAGTACTTTTTTACACCACGATGAGTGAAAGTGGACTGAAATTAAAAATCTTTCAAAATTTTAGGGGGAAAAAATAATTTCGATTGATTTTTGTGTAAAAACTAGATGTATTCGGGGATTTATAAGGGTTGTGGTAGATAGCAGTACTACTAAGGTTGCCGATACAAAAAAAATACAAAAAAAAATTGAAAATGTGCTCATGGTAGTTAAAAATACCATATCGATTTTCGAAGAATTTGATTTTTTTGTAATATCAAAAACGATTTAGATTTTTTTTTCTTTTTCTTTTTTTCTCGGGTAGTCTTTAGCAGGTCCACTCTCTGGTGCTCGTTTATCGTTGAGTTTTGGGACACGTTGTATACAAGTATGCTGGATTGGCTATACCATATAAAATGCCTGTGCCAATTTGAAGCGCCACTATTTGTCGTCTTGTGAACTAAAATTGACATAATATGCGAAATTCTGTTGTCATATTGCAATTGTCTCATTTATTTAAACTAAAAAACGGTTTTATGTTGTTTGATTGTATATAATTTTAGTTACATATTCAGAATTATTTTTAATAATAATGAGAGTGTACGTAATATGTAAATCTCGTTACCAAAAGGGAAGTGGTATAAAAAGTGGTGCGGTTCTCATGTCACACAATATTTTCAACCGACAATATTTTCTGTTCAGTAAGTATAAAAGTATTAGATTACTATTTCGAATATTTTTTTATTTCTTCTCTTCTTATTTTCCCCCAAACTCAAGGGTCTCTCAAGGGTCATTTGGTGGTCGAGCCACGTTGGATGTGTGTTAGTGGACTGCGGCTAGAGGAGATTCATCTACCTGTACCGCTGTAGTCAAAGTGGAGTCGTAAGGGAAGAGGAGTGTTGGTATGGCAATTGGCGATGCGCCATGCTATCTTCTGCGACTTTGGTGAGGCTTTACCACTTGATGCTTCCAAGTGCTCGTTTTTTCCTGGCTCCATTCACATATCGGGCTCGGGAAGTCAGTAGTGTAGGTGGTGTTAGAGGCCGCGAAGGGCAGTGTGCAACTAAGGAGGGGCTGCCATTAGGCGGCTGACGCTGGTAGGGCCGCGGATGTGCATGAAAGAGTTTCCGTGGTCCTGCCAATTTGCGGCGGATGTAGAACACCATGGGTGTTAAATATTTAGTAAGTGCGAGTCTTGAGATTTAATTCTCTCTCGAGTCTCGAGATTTAAATTGTGCTTTAAATTCTTGGTGGCCCTACTTTAGTTTCTTTCTTGTTTAAAATTCTGGCCATCGTTTACATTCACGGTATTTGGCAGCTTCCTATTGTGTAACATCCACCGACAAAGGCAATCAAGTGTTCGATCAAGAACCCATGGATTGCGATATGTCAAGCCCCCCAGAATACGTGGCACTACCGAAGATGGAAAGCTTAGGAGCTAGTGCAATATGCATTGACAAAGGTGATCCGGATGTTGATCTCGAAACCATGGAAGGCGATACGTTGCTGCCTCCAGAATACATGTAGCTGCCCGAGTTTGAGAGCCTGGGAAGAGATTGTTCTTTTTTATGTTGGTATCTTGATTTTTCTTTTCTTTTTTATTAGTAGCAAACCGTGGCAAACGTGATATGTAGTTTTCTTGATTGTTGTGTAATGGTTGTTTATCAATATTTTGGTATACAGGTCGGACCACAAGTTGTTATACCGAGAACAGACTGTCACTTCGAAGAAGGTTTGGTCTATTTCTGAAGTCTGTGATAATATCAAGCATGATCATCGTTATGAATACACCTCTAGATCATCCAAAAAGGCATTGAAACGAGTTCAGAAATCTTTGAGAAACACACGAGCTCGTGTAAAAGTCGAGAGGAAGGCCGTGCGCCTTCAGTCCCAGGTTATCGACTGCGACACATCCTCCAATCTGCCGAAGTCCGTACACGCGGTGGGAGGGTAGGTTTTTACTTGAGGCAGGGTTTAACTACACGTATTATTCAGCATCTTGTTTGCCCTACGGTGTAGAAAATGTGGTAAAAAAGTATTAAAATGAGTGGATAATCCTTTATCATACTGCTTATTGCTCCCAATGGCATAGTATACAATTATTCCTTGATGCATTGAGTGACTCGTTAGGTTCTTTCGCAGGGTACGATTATACTGTTTTGGTTGGTGATTTCAATATTGACGTCTTAAATAGACACGGCGCAAGTACCAAAATTTTCTTTGACTTTCTCAACTTTTGTAATCTTACACAATATGTTGAAGTACCAACGCATTTTACCGAAAGTTGACTATTAGATGTTGTGTAATACTGACGCACCGGTATCTCATATTAAAGTAGACTATATTAGACTTAAGTAGTCATGCCGCATTCCAAAAGATCGATTAAAGCCTAGATGGGTTACGTTCAGACCACTAAGAACTATCGATATAGATATTCACAAACACACCTTAACCTTATATACTGGCAAATCTTCACGTTATTAAATGATGTCAATGATATGGTGGGTATCTTTAACAAAACTGTAATAAATATTTTTGATAAAATGCACCAATGAAAACCGCTTACATAAAAAGAGACAGATGATAAAAAAATATCCTCATATAATTTATACGTAGTAGAGCCGTGCTGCAGCTATTATCGTTGTAGTACGAAATGACGCTGTACTACGAAACATATAACATAAAGTGTATGATGAAGACGCGTGTTGAAGCACAGGTTAGGGCTGGTAAGACAAATCTCGACTCTCACATGAAGTATTATAAAAAGCTAAAATCAATAGTTAAAATTGTCCTTGAGTGAGAAAAATGCGTACTTTCAATTTTTCGTTAACTCAAAAATGAATCAACCAAGTCATGTGGAAGCATATTAAGCAACTACCATCAGCAATTAACATCATTTTCTCAATATCTCTCCGGAGAAAGTAATGTAGCTATGTCTCTCTTTACTTACTTTGAATTTCATCGTTTTACTGATGTTTTGTTTGAATTCAAAGCAATCTCAGAATCTGATGTTGCAAATATTTTAAGGTCATTAATTACAGACTAATGCAGTTGGTTGCGATGGGATATCCCTAGACATTACAATGTTGTTACTTCCAGATTGTCTTGAAGTAATAACTTCAATAATCAATAAAACTTTCGTAACAAACACCTGTCCTACTGTATGGTAGCAAGCCCTTGTTATCAAAAGTTAGTAATCCTGTTTGTATGTCTGACCTTCGGCCCATCAGCAACTTACCGTGCTTATCTAAAATAATAGAAAAAATAGCATGTAAGCAATTAACTGAACATCATGAGACCAATAATATACTGCCCAGGCTGCAATCAGGTTTCAGAAAATGGCACAGCACTACAACTGCCTTAATTCAGGTTATAGACGACATACTGAGAGCACAGGTTAACGGAGAGTGCACTATTTTGACATTTCTGGATTTCTCACACGCATTCGATACCATTAATGTTTCCTTACTTTCTAAATACTATGGTTTAAGTAGAAATGCTATTAAGTGGTTTAGCAGCTATTTTAAGAACCGTTCCCAGCGAGTCGTATTAACACCAAAACACCAGATAACACCAGAATCATTTCGGATAATCGGCGGGTTGAACGGAGAGTTCCTTAAAGTTCTATCTTTGGACCACTGCTTTTTATACTTTACAGCGCGGATATTGTAAATAATATAGAGCATTGTAAGTTCCACATGTATGCAGACGATTTACAGGTATATATTTCTTTTAAGCCCTGCGATACAGATATCGCTTTGGCGATGTTTGACGCGACCTGAATCGCATATCTCTGTGGTCTGAGCGTAACGCACTAGTTCTGAATCCAAAAGAAACAAAATAAGTGATACTAAGAACGCCAACACAGGTACGGAAGATTACCTCGAAATGTCCCATATCTAAATGTATTATATATGTGGTCTTAAATAAGAATACAATAGAAAGAGTCCCTGAAGCAAGAAATCTTGATGTAGTGATGGACGAGCAGCTGCAATTCGAGAAGCACATTTTTAACATTGTACGTAGTTGCTTCTTTAGGCTAAAAGTACTTTATCGAAATCGCAATTACCTAAGCCTCTGCATGTTAATTTATGCGAATCCCGCGTTCTCTCAAAATGTAACTATGCTAATTCTCTCATAGGACCGCGACTTCTAGCTCGTGCCAAAAAAATTAGACAACGAGTGCAAAACGCCTGCGCGCTTTTGCTTTAAGACGACACATCGAAAATGAACGTTTAAAGCAGCTCCGGGCTTTCGCCGTACTGATCCGAGTGAGTACATAATTTCTATAAAAACTTTATAAAACACCGTCATAAGGTCTCAAATTGCTTAGCGCCCACGACGAATAATATATTGACGGTATGAATGAATATATTTGAGTGATTCCCAAGCATATATTAAGTACCTAGTAAAGTAATTTCGTTGTAATTTCAATTTCAATCGAGTCGAAATTATACAATCGTGTTTTTGAACAAGCAAATTCAAGAGAAAGACATGACTTTACCTACATATCTAAATTTTACTTTCGTTAGTGGTGTTATAGTCCTATACTATTCGATGAAAGGTGCATTTTTTCGCGGTGTCGCCTCAAAATAGCACCACGTACACATGTAACATCGTTCTATAACAAAGCCAATATATTAAAAATGGACCTCCGCAGACGACCACACTTTGCCACTCTTTTGTTCGGTATCGTAAAAAACCAACAACCGTTATATCTATACAATAAGCTTGATTGGGCCACAGATCACAATAAAACACATTATCTTAGATCAATTGAACAAAAATTAGTATATCCTTTTAGCCGATCTACTGCTTTCAGAGGAAGTTTTAAATACAATGCAACAAAGTGTTGGAACAACATGCCGCCTACCTTACATAGCCTTACAACAATAAATGATTTTAAAAACAAATATAAATTACTGCTACTCAATTAACAAAACATTGTTGGTTAAGACGTAGAATCTAGGTATAAATAACTTATGATAATTCATAGAATCAGGCGTTACTTTGCGGAAATCCATTATAATAAAGATATTAATAGTTACTTTGCAACCATCCGCTCAATTAACTAAAATGATGTGTCTTACCTAGTTTGAAGAGCACCTCCCGCCCTCCCTCAATTGCATGCACTAATCCCGTCACCACTAATCCCAACTCCACTACTTCCAACACCACTACTCTCAACACCGCTATTCTAGGAAAGTCAGTAAGTGAAGAAGTCACTTACTTCACTTACTGACTTAGTGGTCAGCCACCGTAGAGTCTATATCAACTGGAGATGCCTCGTGTAGAGGCGAAACACGTGTCGTATTATCGTCGATGGTGTGTCTTTCCTAGAATAGTGGACATTGAACCCGTAAAGGGTTGAATGTCCACTATTCTAGGTAAAAAAACCCATGGGGGCGAGAATCAATAAACTCTTTGAAGGCGGTTTGGACTGCCGCATCGGTTGTTGAATTTTTTCCTTATAAGAAGTTGTCCAAATTCCGGAAAAAATGGTAATCTGTTGAAGCAAGGTCCGGGGAGTACAGTGGATGTCGCAGACATTCCAATTGTAGCTCATTTCGATATATTTTAAAATGTTGTATTAATCGACAAAACATTAGGCAACATAAGAAGCCACAAAAACATTCATGTGCTGTTATCGTTTTGTTCTTCGTCATCCAACCGTCAAGTAATACCATTTTGAGCCTTTTATCCTACTACATTATGCAAAACACGACGATAAATCGATACATTTTTTTCACTTGCCCGTCTCTACTCGTCGCTATTGCTAGCAGCGAGCCGGACGCGGACGCGAGAGGCCACGCGCGCCAATTGCCCACCCGCGTCTGCTTCACCCCCTAAAAATCTACCTGACCACGATACTATTTCGCCTTAAAACTTTGATGTTGCCTATTTAGTCCGAGTTTGGTGGGAAAATATAAAATTGCCAAAGCAAAATTATTTTAATGTAATAACAGCTTACAAATATATATAATTTTGCTGTCAAAATGATCGATCGAAATACATACTAGAGGTTAGTGAAAATTCTAAAAATTTGGAGTCACGATGAATCGGGGCGTACTTCTAAAAATTGGATCAACATCAGCCTTGGCAACACTAGTTTACGCTATCGGTGTTTATTAACACGAACTAAAGCTTGCGCTTGTCTATAATTTAATTGTGAATCTAAATTAAATTATAGACAATGGCAAGCGGATAAACTTATGTCAATTATTGAACTAACAAAACCTTTCCATTTTTAAATGGTACAGATTAATATTTTTTATAGATATATTTGATTGTTTATAGATAGGGTGTCAAATAAGAAGTCTACCTGATGGTAAGTGAGTGCTATGGCCCACAAACATCTACATTTATCTTCATAAGAATTCTGAGAATCAAAACGCAGATGCTTTGTCACTTCTGGGGGCTGAGATGGAATGCCACGTTTCCAGTAAAAAGGGTCTGCGGTTCTCCACACTCACCATACGAAACACAGTAGCATTAAGCTGCTATTTTACGCTAATATTCTATGAGAGCGCGGTCCTTCCTCGGTCGAACCGACCCACATTCGTGCTACAACCATAATATAGCTGCAGCGTGGCTCTACCTCGTATACGTATACCACATAACCTCAAAAGATATATTGCATAATTACTACTTTCTCCATACTTTTTAAAATATACTGAATGCAGTGCTTCGTTATATTAAAATAGACAAACGAAGCAACACCATTTTATCAAGGTATCACGTAATACCAGGTTTTAATAGTCCAAGCATGTTAGGAGAGTGGCCATTGTTCTTTGACCTTTTTGTAGACTGCACATAATTACGAAAAAAAAATTGTATTTTTGTAGAATTAAATATTACCAACGGCTGCTGTATCTCTAACGACGGAATGTGCTACTATTTCGTTCCTCTTGTACCATTGTTCTAATGTCTCTGACGTGTTTGTGTCCAAATCTACGTAAGGTTTGTATCTGGAAAAAAAAATCAGAATAGTATTTTTAGCGTTATCACACAATATATAGGTGGTAGAGACACGCTGAAGCTATATTATAGTTGTAGTACGAATAGGTCGGCTCCACTGGGGTAGAGCCACGCTCTCACAGAATACCAGCGTAAATCAGCAGCTTAATGCTGCTGTTTCGTATGGTGAATGTCGAGAACCGGCGACCTTTTTTACTGGAAACAAGGCATTCTATCTTAGTCATCAGGGCTGACAACGCATTTGAATTTTGATTATTAATTGAGGATAAATGAAGATGTCTATAAAATGGATGCTGTGGCCCAGCATCCATTTACCATTAGGTGGACTGTGTGCTGGTTTATCGTCAATACTGTAAAAAAATACACACATCATGGTATGGTACAATGCTTATTTATGTTGTTCTTTTCCCGTCGTGGGGAAGGTTAGCCTCAATTGTCACACTGGGCAGGTGGATGGATGACCGCACTACCAGACTTAAGCACCATCGACGCTGCCGCCAAACCATTGGGTTTGATATCTACTGACTGGCATTAACGAGATGTTTATACCGCTATTTATTGGAAACCATTTTTCTGGCATTTTCTATAGTCACCTCTGACACCCCAAGGGACGAAATGGGTTGATGGATTTTTTTACGCTGCCTATATTTATTTTAATGGATGGCAAATGTTAACTATAAAATATAGGTTATTTTTAATTTGAAGTGATATGTTTATAACGCACCTAAGATCTACATTATAGCCAGCTTTATGCAGTTCCCACAAAGTCATGAAGGGCCCCACACCGGTAGGCGCGTACCAATGTTTGAATTCAAATAAGCCTGGTTCCACTCGTATTTTCACCGATGGGTCAGCTTGCAATCCTAGAGAATTTAATTTAATTTGAAACTAAACATGCTCTAGAACACTTTTTTATGGTTATGTTTGGCCAATAATTCCTTTATAGATCTTTTTAATTCTATAGAGATTAAAAGGCTAATAATCCTAGGGGGAAACTAAACAATTTATTACATAAATTTTATACTTCGAACAGCCACACCAATTGTCAAAGCATTATTCACACAACCACACACACACACACACACACACATAAACAAACGCGTGCATGCTTTGCATGCATGCTTATCATGTAATTATAATTATATTCCAAATTTCATTTACTTCCTAATGCTTTCTAATCTTGCCTTGCCTTTTGTTATTTATTGATTAACATTGTATTGTCTCGGTGGATGAGCGGGGTACCCAGTATTACAGGTTCCCAACCTAGTACAGGGGCCCTTGCGACTGGTTTAAAATGTATCATTGTAAATCAATAAATCATTTTTCATTTTCATTTCATTTTCATTTCATTTTCATGATGATATGTAACGATTTATATAATGTCAGATTTGTGGTTTATTTTTCAAAAATAATGGACATCACTAGTCTAATCACAAGAACTAAAATAGTAGTAGTAGTGCCTAAGATAAACAATATTACTCTAACTCACGATAACTCTTATATAATATAATATATATATATATATATATATATATATATATATATATATATATATATATATATATATATATATATATATATATATATATATATAAGAGTTATCGTGAGTGATAAAATTGAAGTATCGAGACCGGGATTATTTTATTAGCTACAGAAGTACATCAACTGGTTCCCTATTTCATATCAATAGCCTAGTAATAAAATGATTTTCAACTTTTATTGCTGTTAAAAATTTAAAGGCGCTTTCATTTTTATTTAAGCTCTTGATAGACAAAGGACAAATGTACCATACATCCTATATCGATTTTTTACTTTGGGTAATCGATTTAATTCGGTAAACATTATTTAATTTTTGCCCTGTAGGTGACACTACCTGTTAAAATAATAGAGCGGTAAATTTAACACAACACGTACTTAATAGTCAGGAATACATTTTTTTCGTCAAAATTAAATGAAACGCTCTTGAGGCGTGTACTTTTGAATTTTCGTACCATTTTCTAAATATATTATCCTAGGAGACATCAGGCGCAAGACCAACGGATTAACGTGCTTTCCAACAAGGTGTAATTGTAAACACCGTTGTCACTAAAACTATAGGTAGTTGGCTTTAATATAAAATTATTTATCCGATTTTTTTTTAAAACGCTATTTTCTTTCATAAAATTTAAAAAGTTTCTGTCCGACACCATCCGTAAATTCATGGATGCGCCCGAGTGACGTAATTACTGTAAAGATTTTTTTTTCATTTAGTTTTCATTATAAAAACACAATAGGTACACATAACCTATGATGTAACTTTTCCTTCATACTTTCATCCTGGCTTAGGACAGGAAAAAATTGGGGAATTAAGGAAAAATTGAAATTTTACTTAAAAAAAAATTTGTTATCCCGTGGGTGTCGTAAGAAACGATAGAGGGAAACAAATAAGGAGAAGGGCAGCAGCGTCTTCCTAATAAACTACTAAAATAAAAAACTGCGGTTGCCAACCCCCTTGCCAAGCATGGCAACTACGGCAAATATCCCCCTTATGAGGTAATCTATGGCGAAGGCTTACATTCAGCAGTGGAATCTAATAGGCTGTTTAATGTTACTGTGTAATATATATATATATATATATATATATATATATATATATATATATATATATATATATATATATATATACAGAATGGGTCCCACATATATGCAATAAATGAAACCATATACTTGTTATCGCCTTTGCTGACGATATACAAAAAATGAACGTAATCGGTCCAGTAATTAGGTCAAAAAGTAGTTTTAATTTTAAGCAAATTTGAACACTCTATAGAATTAGGTCACTAAGTCAATGATTCAATGAACTTGAATCCTTGAACATTAAAAAGCGACGTTGCCACGCAGTGCAAACTATTGGTATTGCGACATATCGACAACGGTGTCTTTTGTCGGCGTGCCACCCGCGTGCAACGTTGTCACTCTTGCAAGGGGTCAAGGTACGTTGTCTAAACAGAGTGTTCACTTTTACTGAATTTATTTTAATATTTATTTTGTTTGAAAATTTCACTTTTTTATTTTACGGGTTTTAATTTAATATTTAATTTTTCTACACTTCTACGGACTAGTATTACTTGTGGTTTCATTTATTGCATATATGTGGGACCCATTCTTATATATATATATATATATATACAAATATATATATATATATATATATATATATATATATATATTGGATGACCTTTTTTATTAATATGGAGAGAAATTGAACTTAGACTCTATCAAACACAAGGCCTATTTACTTTCACAGTGGTCCTTACGCTAACACGTTATTACATGTTATTTAAGTTAGGTTTAGAGGGATGACTTGCCTGACTATAGGCGATCGGTGTGGGTGACATACATAAATATGCTGTCAGCAAAATGCGTTACAAAGTTGCACCTGCAAGCTTTAACAGTAACGGTAAGAGTATCGCTCTCCTAACATATACCTTAAACTAAAAGTTACAGCCTATATAAATCCCACTGCTGGGCACAGGCTTCGTCTCATTTCTGAGACGATTTTAGGGCAAGGAAATGTCCGTAGCGATGCCCCAATGCTTGTTGGCGAACTTCACATGTTTTCAAAATATATTTTTTTATTTCTCAGACATGCATGATGTTTTCCTTCACCTCCGAGCACGTGGTAAATCAGCCGGAGGGGATCAAACTAGGGTTGCTTGCGTACTGTGAAATAAATAACGAGCGCTTAGCTCCTGAGCTACCACGGAACTTAAGTTATCCTATGATGAATGGAATACCTTCGATGAAGCTGTGCGCGGTTTCTACGCAGCGCAGCGCGGCGGAGGCGTATACGTGCGCGACGGACACGCCGGCCAGACGCAGCCCCTCGCCCACCAGCCGCGCCTGCAGCTGCCCCACGCGCGTCAGCGGCGTGTCCCGCGCGTACGCCGCGCCGCCACCCGCCCTACACTCCGCACCCCGCACCATCACACACCATACACCGTTATAGGTTCCTTTCACTTCTTCCCACTGGTGGGACAAAGTGGACTCTTTAAAATGAGTTTGTCTACTTTTCCTCACTAATCGTTTCTTGGTGGGACAAATTACACTATAATAAGCAAATTCTAAGATAGTTGGATTGTCTGATCGCTGTATATAAATCATATGCCATTTATACTTTTAGGCATGTATATTTGTCTTTTTAAGTGGTTTTATTAAGAAACATCTGTGATTTCAGATATTACATAAGTAAATCTTTAATCTAAAAATTTGTTGTCTGTGATTTCTGAATATAACTCCAAAAAATTTTATGAACATTAAACAAATCTATGACTTCAATTGATTATACATTTATTTAATTTTAAAGATTTTTTTGTTTGAAAAATACTTCAAGATCTTAAAATTTGCTTACGCCAGCCCTAGTGGGGAAAAGTGGACGAGGTTTATAACAGTGTAATTTGTCCCACCAAGAAACGATTAGTGGGTAAAAGTAGACGAACACATTTTAAAGAGTCCACTTTGTCCCACCAGTGGGACATTTGGTGGGAAAAATTGGAATAAACCCCGTCATACACTGCCCGCTGTCCGGCAGTAGGTTGTTCGAATACTAGAAAATAAATCAGATCTTTATATAGATATGTCTGTCCTTGTGTATGTGACTGATCTCTTCCTAAACAGCAGCGCGCGATTAACTTTATTCGAAAATGGTTTGAATTCACAATCGGACCTGGTAGGTGGCGCTGTTGTCAAGATCCAGAAATCACCCGAGCAAAGCTTTTTAATAGAATATGGATATCTTATTTTGGGCCATAATACCGAATGAAGAAATTTTTTTTTAATAACATTGGCTTACACCCAAACAAAATACGTTTACAATGTAAAATAATTACAATTATAAAAAGAAAAATAATTTTATCTCCGACGAAAGACAATCTATTTTCATTCCAGAAAATGTGGGTTTTATGAATGCATTTTAACTTTGATTTTTATTTGTGTAATCAAGTCTACATTATATTCACAAAAATTGCCTAAAATCTGTCTAATGTGATATGTAGACTAATATTAAAATAATAATTATTTAAAAGTACATAAATCTTTACAATATCTTTTCTAAAGTAAATCTGATTTGGATCCTGCATGAAACAATTGTTCGTATGGTATAAAACTAATTTAGTTTACAAGAAATTTCTAGTATGTAACATTTAAAAAAATATCTCTAGTCACCTTTCTCCCAACTTAAGAGGCATATTCAAATCCTTTCTTATATAAGTACCATTCTCGTCGAAACAGAAAGGCACCCATTGCCCATAAGTAAGGTCCACTCTCTCACCATGCCGCATCGCGAAGAACCAGCGCCGACAGTTTTTATCCGAACAACTTGACTGAAATAATAAATATTAACAGCTTACTACATCAAAAAAAAATTATGTAACAAGTCGTAATTTTTAAGAGTTCTAATTAAAAAAAAGCATTTTTAAAAATGTCATGATTTTGTCAAGGGAATGAGCAGCAGTGTCTTCCTAATAATAATAATATTTTTTTATAGACGAGGGGGCAAACGAGCATACGGTTCACCTGATGTTAAGTAACTACAGCCCATGAACAATCGCAACACCAGGGGAATTGCTGGTGCGTTGCCGGCCCTTTAGAAAGGAGTAAACTCTTTTCTTGAAGGCAGGAATAATAGTAACAACAGAAAAAAATTAAAAGCTACGGTTGCAGATCCGTACGCCAACGGCTATCTATGGAGAAGGTCTGTATTCAACATCGGTGTTGATTCCATAAAAACAAAACACGATATAAAGAAGATGGGATAAATTAAGAGCACCCTTAATCAACGAGTTAAAATATTCAAAAATCAAGAGTTATTTACAGCAGATTTTTATTAGTAACATAGTTACTAGTTAGAGGGAGATTAGAATGACACTCCTATACCTTAAAAACGGCAAGTCCCCGGGCGAAGATGGAATTACAGCGGAGCTTCTGAAAGCAGGTGGAAAACTGATATTTGAAGTGCTTCTGAAGCTCTTTAATTCCGTCTTCCATAGTGACACTACTCCGGAGGCGTGGAGCAGAAATACGGTGGTCTTGTTCTTTAAGACGACAATGTTCTCTCGAATAACTACAAACCGATTTCCTTTCTGAGCTGCGACTACGTCGTGCTCTTTCCGAGAGTCATTACGAGTGGTCTCACACGCCGACTTGAAGACTTCCATCTTCCCGAACAAGCCGGTTTCCGAAAAGGCTTTAATACCATAGACCACATATATAACCTTCGGCAAATTGTACAGAAGACCGAAGAGTACAATCTGCCACTGTGTCTTGCGTATGTGGACTATGAGAAAGCCTTTGATTCCGTCGAAATTTGGGCGGTGCTGCAGTCTCTTCAGCGATGCCAAGTTTACTATCGGTATATCGAAGTGCTGAAGTGTTTTTACAGAACCAGAGTACGAAACCCATCCAACTGCAGAGAGGTGTAAGACAGGGTGACGTAATATCCCAGAAACTCTTCACCGCTGCATTAGAAGACGTTTTCAAGCTACTAGACTGGAAAGGATACGGTATTAACATCCAAGGCGAGTACATCACTCACTTTCGATTTGCCCAAAATATAGTCCTTATGGCAGAATCGCTGGAGGACCTAAGCACTATGCTCAATGACGCCTCTCCCGACGGATAGGTCTTAAGATGAACATGGACAAAACAATAGTCATGTGTAACGTTCACGTCACACCAATTCCAATACTTGTCGGGAGCACTAAGCTCTAAGTTGTTGACGACTATGTTTACGTTTTACGTTTACGTTTGAGAGGTCTATCGCGGATTCTACTCGGCTGGATAGCGTTCGGGATATTACGACACATCCTCTTGTCAAGCATACCTCAAAGCCTCAAAACAAGATTGCACCACTAGTGCGTGTTGCCAGTGATGACTTGTAGATCTGAGACATGGTTTTTACTGCTGGCCGTATGAGAAAGCTCAAGGTCGCTGAGTGAGCTATGGAGAGGGTTATGCTCGAGATTTCCTTGCGTGATAAGACTCAAAAACGAGGATATCCGCAGTAGAACCAGATTAACCGACATAGCCGAACGGATTAGTAAGCTGAAGTGGCAATAGACCGGCCATATGGATCGAAGAACCGACAACCGATGGGGAAGAAAGATTCTGAAGTGGCAGCTTCGTACCGGCAGGGGAGGTGTAGGGCGTCCACCTACAAATTGAGTGACGACCTGGTAATACATGCAGGAAGTCAATGGATGCAGATGACTCGGGACCGTGCTTTGAGGCAGGCATTCCTTGGGGAAGGCCTATCTTCAGCAGTGGATTAGTGAAGGGTTGTTATGATGATGATCATACTAGTTAAGGACTTTTTTACAATGGTCCTTCTCAGTTCGTTGCTTTTTTTTTTTGTAAGTATTGTTGTATTGTAAGATATTTTTGATTATTCTTTTTTTATTATATGCGTTATAGGTACTACGGGAGTGATTTCACACAAATTTGAAGTAAAAAAATCTTAGGCTGTCTTGACGCGGTTTGAAATGTCAAAAGTGGAATGTATAGGTGTTGGCGGGTTAGTTTTTTTTTAATAGAAAACGGGGCAAACGAACATGTGACTCACCTGATGGTAAATGACTACCGCCGCCCATGAAAAACTGCAACACCAGGGGAATTGAAGGTACGTTGCCGGCCTTTTAGACAGGAGTAAGCTATTTTCCTGAAGGTCCCTAAGTCGTATCGGTCCGGAAATATCGCCGGAGGTAAACGATTCCACAGAGGGATCGTACGAGGAAGAAAACTTTTAGTAAAACGAACAGTGGACGAAGGAGCTGACACTGGGGACACCGGCCCAGACATAGGAACAGTATTCCATGAGAGGCCGAACCTGCGCCTTTTGTTAAGTTTCAGGCGGTGTCCCGGGATGAAATACTGTCCCGCTCTGTTGAGCACACCAAGCTTTTGAAAGACCAATTGGGCCTTCTCTTCCAAGAACCATGAGACTGCACATCATTCGATGTGTTGACGCCGAGGATTCCGATATCGATGAGGCAACAAGGTAAGTGCCTTGAAATTAAGGAGGGCAAAGGGGATCTTTTAAGCGGTAATCGTGCAGTCTTGTGTCTTCTGGGGATTGAACTGGACTAGATTTAGTCACCTCCAGTCCGATACTTTGTTCATGAAAGTCTTGACTTCAGACATAAATTTGTTCCGGTATTCGGCGATATTTTACCGAGAAATATTGGCACGGCCGGTGTATAAAGCCTCACCAGTGCTGTTGTCCATATAGCAATTAACGTTACCGGTTTGCAACATATCATTGATATGCAGAAGAAACAGCGTTAGTGACAGCACGCAGTTTTGTGGAATATCAGCGCTATTGCTTTGACCTTGATGCTCCGATCTGCAAAAAAGCTGGTGATCCAATTGCACAATTTCTCAGGAAGCCACTTTGTGCCAAACCCGATCAAAGGCCTTCGCTATGTCCCAACTAACCGCCAAGGCCTACCCCTTGGACTCAACCGCCTGCGCCTATCGGTCTGTGAGGTAAAAAAAAAGATCATCAGCTAAGCGACCCTGACGGAAGCACTCACATCGCGGGATGGTCAACAGTGTATTCCCTCCGTCATCGAGGATCGAGTTGGACGCAAAGGGACACTTTAGCAGATCGGCTTTCTTCTTTGCGTCATGGGCCAGTGAGTCGTCTTTCCTGTGCAGAGATGGGAGATGTGGCTGATAGAATTTCCTTTGGACAGCCTTAGCAGGAGACTAGAATGCACGGGTTCCCGAAGGAAGGCGGACTAGTTTCTCGCCAATTCTGCTTATGAACTTTGACTTTGCTTTAGTAATAACTCTTTTGAAGGGCCTGGAGGCGTAATTATACTTCTTTTTAAGGGCGCTGGTGTTTACATACTGAGCCGCCGAAACGTAAGCCCAGGCCTGATAATATTCCTGCTTAGTGCGTAATGCAGTCTTACAGGAGCCATCAAACCAAGGCTGAGATCGGGGGGATGGGTACCACAGATGATGGAATAAATAGTTCTATTCCCAGTAAAACCACATCAGTAACAGATTCAGCAATAGCGCTGGGATCATACGGCATGAAGCATACTCGCTCCCATGGATAGGATGCAAAGAAAGACCGCATTCCGTCCCAATCCGCCTACCTGTAATGCCAAACACGGTGCCAGCGTACAGAACGCAACCGCGAAGAGAGCGTGAGTGGCACCACACTTTGGATCAGACAATGATCCGAAAAGCCAAGAGGACGTCGACGGAGACCTGATATTCGTTTGGATAAGGGGAAAGCAGAAGGTCAACCAGGGAAGGTGCATTATCCTCCACATCTGGATTCCGCGCAGGCAAAGTAACCATTTGTGTCTAACCATATGCCAAGGCAAAGTCATAAATAGATCTCCCCGCTTGATCAGTTAAACGTGAATCGAGCGGTTCGGCGCGATGGACGTTAACATCGTCAAGGATCACGATCTCTGCTGATGGGATCTGCCAAAGCAAGGAATCTGTAGCCATTTGGATGTGGTCGATGAGTCGGTCTGTTTCGGCATTACCGCTATGGGATTTGCAAACCAACAAATTGCAAATCGAGGACACGCATCTGGTGAACGCCGGCAGCTTCTTCTCGTACTTCAGGTTGACTCTCACGTGGTGTATAGTACTCCTCGCTGTCTTGCCTCAATTTACACGAATTTTACACAATTCACGGTCGTGATATTAAGTTTATGACTATTTAAACTGATATAGCGGTATGTTTTCTCATGCGAGTTGTCGCGTGCGTGTTCGACGGAAACTGGTGCGGTATGGACATCGTGTACGCGAAGTGACTGTCTATCTACTACTGATTTGACGTGCAGGTAGGGCCCGAACTGCGTGCTCGTCGCGAATGGGTTAGGGCTTAGCGGAACTCTGATTTTTAAATAAGATTGACATTAAAACGAGAATTCATAAACAATAGCAGAATAAACTAAATACGACGGTAACAGGTTGGCAAAATAGGAGAGAAGTTTTTAATGTAACTATTAAACTACATTGAGATTGTGATAATATTTAGTCCACTCAAAAGGGTAAAAATTAACTTGAAAAAAAGCCGACTTCAAAAAATTAAAAAGAATAAAAAGAATTTCACATTCCGAAGTCGGGGCTTTCATTCTTTTACACCCTTCTTACCCAACTTCAGAATGTGTAATTATTTGTTTTCTTTTTATTTCTTTAAATGCGGATTTTAATTTTTTAAGAGTTTTTATAAATGGAATATTTTCTTTCTAAATCATTAAAAATACTGATAAAAGATAAAAACTTACATCAAGAGTATCAATACTGTGGTCAGATTCGCCGGTTCCTTGAGCTCTACTAGATTTCCAATCGATACTGGTGCCTGTAGACCAGATTCATTTTATTATATTTTTTAATTTTTAAGCTTATTAACGGAGTTCATCTAAAGTAAAATGACCACACCATTTAACGTGGTATCACAGTAAAGGTGATCACACATTACTCAACACTTTACATAATGTTCTAGAATTCAGTGTTTTTAAAATTAAACACATTACATTTCGGCTTCGTTTTAGTTTTTTATTTATACTCTTAAGAGGCCTGATGGCAGTAACCAAACATTAGCGATCCTTTACGATCCTTCCAGCCAAACCATTTAAGAAAAAAGAACCAGTTTTGTTAACTCTACTAATACTTTTACCCACTTCAACTAAGCATTAAATTATTATTAATGTATTATTATTAAAAAATAGTTTTACTTGAAGTGGTTCGCGACAGTAGTCAAATAGCGTATATACATATTTTGAGATTTAAGCTTAATAGGTAAAGCTTGAATCTGTGGGAACTACAGAACCTCATTTATAATTTAACTTTTCTAATAATATAACGAATATATTCTATATTCAGGCTTAACACCCAACGATTGAAGAACCAGCGAAAATATCGCTACAAAATTGTTGAGAAGATTCAAAAGAAAATGTGTTTCGAAACTAAAACTTACACGCTACTCCTTACTACCTAAAACGACTAAATCTTCTAAAAACAATTTAATGACTGACCTTGGGTTATACGTAATATGCTCTCGCTGCGGTTGTTTTGCACCTCACGCCAGTACTTCTCCCACTCCCTGTACGTCTCTTCAGACTTTTCTTGGCCGAGCGACGCCGCGTCTTCATGTGGATAGTTTGACATTTCTCCCTCGGTATTCCCCTCAGAATCAGAAGATTTGCACTCCATACCTAAAAATTTGAAAGCCTCATTAAAAAATGGGTAGGCAAGAAAAGCTTTGCATACGTTATCAAGACAAATTCATTAATGGTCTTATGTCAACTGTCCGATAACACAATTGCGGGTTTTGAACTTTTATCTACATATTATACATAAACACTCACGTCTTAGTACGTAGTTGTAGTCTACAATCAGTCAAGACAGCAACAATTTGTAGTTCGCGTTCTGTTTTTGCCACACATGTGACTCGTACATATAGATATAATATACCTATGGAGGCGGTATATTATACGATGGAAATAATAGTTATACAAATGTCTATAATATCGACATACACTTGTCAAAAACAGTTTTGTTTCTTTTTAACAAAGCAGTAGCTTCATTAGAAAAGGGAGACAACAACAGTTTATCGATTGCTTATTTTGACAACACTTTCGTGCGACGTCATTAGCTCATCGTCGCGCTTTATTAAGCGCTCGGCGCGAGGTTTTGTGGTAGATCTGCTGTCAAACTGTTGCATGCTAAAAAAAATTTGTTGTGTAGTGCAGTGCCATCATCTTATCTTATAGTAGGTGTTTTTCTTCTATGTATATTTTATTATGTTACTAGATGACCCTAACCACCGAAAATAGATTTGATTGTAACTCTTAATTAAGAGGCGTTTCTGAGTTTTTGCAAAACTAACGTACGGCAATTGATTTTTAAATTCAATGGAATGGAATTCAATGAATGAAGTAGTTAGATTGTGTCACTATTCACTTATAATATTGTTACTTTTTCAGCATATTTCTGAGTATATAAGTGTCTTACAACTTATTTCAAAAGTATAATGGAAGGGATGCATTTTTGATTACTATTTTATGTTGGATGAATAATTTAGTAATATATAATTTATTTAGCCAATAAAAAACTGCCAACAAGTTTTGTAACTATAAAAAATCCAGTACTTGTATGTATGTTTGTCGCTACTAGTTGGGGGAGAAAAAACAAAAACTTTATCTTTCAGGAGTGGTGGTGGAAATCTTCAGTCGCCTTTATTAGAGTCGTTATTTAAATTATTAAAAAACCATATTAATTGCTGTATTAGAATATTTTGCGGGATTTATGTCAAAAAAAAAGGTTCAGATACCATGCAAGAAAAATCAGTGATAAACTGTCTTGTAAAAATTATATCAATAAATTAATTTTGTTCAGAAACGAATAAATAATAATAATAATGGTTTATATATCCAGATTTTCGAATTTTGCAAAGAAATGTTTTTCATTTAAAATCTGAATGAATAAGTAAAATATAATATACAACTTGTTTGCATAACTTACTATTTGTGATGAATTATGTACAGAACAATTAACAATTAAATATTGATTTCTAAAACAGTTTTTTTTACTCAACATTTCATTTTTACTCAACTAATCATTATTATTTTATACTAGAAATACTTTAATATGGGATCAGATATCTCCATCTCAGTAATTCTTTATACACATGGATTTAATTTCTATTTATACAAAAGCCATAAATCTGTCAGTCACATTTATTCCTCAGGTAAGTTACTTGACGGTTGAAAATTCAGTCCTGTATCTGTGTAAATACCTGTGAAATAAAGTAAATTAAGCAACAAATCTCATTATATAAAATGAGAAAAAAATCACATTAGTTAAAATATCGATATCAGATGCGCATATTGCTGAGTTACAACCCTATAAAATGCTAATTATGTAAGTATGCCTAGTCCATATACTTCTATAGTATTGTTACGAGCTTGAGGTTCGTGACAATAAAAATTGCCGATAAAATTACCTAAATTAACACTTTAATTTACTTTACACAAATTAAAACTAAAAACACTAATAATTAAACACACTAATTCACTTAATTCCGCTCCGAAGCTTCGCTTGTGTCGCCGAGTTCAACTCTGCCTCGATCGCATCTTGCAGCGCCTATATATTTAAATTAGCAAAGAAATATCCAGAATGTTCAAGTAAACACGCGCAAGGTACCGAGCGTTCGAGTTTCGACTAGGCGCTGTCGGTTGAGTGATTTGTGACGTCATTTTCTCAATGCTCCCCTCGCTCTCGTTCCTGACACTAGATGGCGCTAGTGTATTGTCGATTTGAGCGCGTAACACTGCCCCCTCCTAAGAAATGCTCGTCCCGAGCATTATCGGCCCCATAATAACGCGCTAGGCGATCCACATGGGCGATCTTAGGAGTCCCTCTTGCGCCTTTCTGTATCCGGTAGGTTACATCGTTGATCCTGGTCACAATCCGGTACGGGCCGTCCCATTTAGCTTGAAGCTTAGGAGATTTCCCTTTGCTGCGGACTGGATTGTGCAACCACACAAGTGAACCTTCGTCGAACCCTTTATTGTTCATTTTGCGGTCATACCGGGTTTTCATCTTTTCAGACATTTGCTGGCCCGATTGTCTGACGTGCTCATAAACGTCATTCATTTTTTCCGCAAGTCATTTGCATAATCGGTTATACTGCGTGGAGCATCAGGTGGTATCCCGGTGATCAGGTCTGCAGGCAGCCGTAATTCTCTTCCAAAGTTTGCGAAAGCTGGTGTCACTGCTGTACTTTCGTGAACAGAACTTCGATATGACAACAAAAACGGTTGTATGTGCTTGTCCCAATCTCGTTGCCGATTGTCTACAACTTTTGCTAGGTACCTCTCCAATGTCTGATTAAATCGTTCCACCATTCCATCAGATTGCGGGTGATAAGAAGTCGTTCTTGTTTTATGAGTACCCATAACTCGGCAAGTTTCCTGGAATATTTGAGACTCAAAATTCCTTCCTTGATCGCTGTGAATCTCTAAAGGTACTCCAAAACGACAGAAGACTTCATGAACTAGTTTATCTGCAACTGTTGAAGCTTCTTGATTTGGAATGGCGAAGACTTCTGGCCACTTAGTGAAGTAATCCATCACAACCATGAAATACTTGTTACCGCTTTCACTCTCCGGAAACGGCCCCGCCACGTCAATGGCTATTCTCTCCCATGGTGCACCCACATTGTACAACTTCAATGCACCTCTACTACGAGTCTGAGGTCCCTTTACAGCCGCACAACTTGTACATTTGCGACACCAGTCCTCGACATCGTTTCGACAGTGGACCCAGTAAAACCGTTCTCGGATCTTCAGTAGAGTTCGTTTAACTCCCAGATGGCCTCCTGAATAATCATTATGGTACAGCTGTAGAACATCCGGTACTTTAGTTTTAGGGACAACCATTTGTAAATGACAGCTGTCTCCCCGAACATTTTCCCATTTACGGCACAGAACTCCATCCTGAAGCAGCAAGCTGTCCCACTGGGCCCAATAGCTTTTAGTGGTTGAACTCATTGCTGAGACGTCGCTCCACTTAGGCTTGGGAGCACTGGCCTTCATCCATTCCAGGATCGGCTTGATGTCCGGATCTTCCTGCTGTGCACGTTGAAAGCTGTCCTTCCACTCGTTGCTGAGGTGGTCTGCCCTGAGCATCCTCACGGATACCACTTCCTTACTCTCTTGCCTAGTACAATGTTTGCAATCTTCAGGACAAGGTCTTCGTGATAATGCATCTGCGTTGCCATGAGATTTCCCGCTGCGATGTTCGATCTCAAAGTCGTATTCCTGCAGTAGTTCAATCCACCTCGCAACTTGTCCTTCTGGATTTTTAAACTGCAATAGCCATTTTAGTGCAGCATGGTCAGTTCGTAAGTGAAATTTTCGCCCCAGAAGATATTTGCTAAAATGCTGCAACGACTTTACCACAGCTAGCAATTCGCGTCTTGTGACACAATAGTTCCGTTCCGGTTTTGACAACGACTTGCTGAAGTACGCTATCACGACCTCTTGGTCACCATTCCGTTGAGACAACACACCGCCAAGTCCTATATCACTTGCGTCTGTGTCAACTATAAATTCCTTGCTTGCATCAGGGTATCCCAAAATAGGTGTTTGCACAGACGGTCCTTGAGCTCCTGGAATGCGATATTACAACTTTCATCCCAGCAGAAATGTCGCTTCTCCTCGGTTAGCCTATGCAGAGGTTTGGCTATATCTGCAAAGTTCTTCACAAAACGTCGGTAATAGGAGCACAAACCCAAAAATGCTCTAACCTGCGTCTTGTCTTTTGGAACCGGCCAATCCTTTACAGCTGCGATTTTCTCTGGATCCGTGCGGATACCTTCTTCCGACACTACATACCCCAAAAAGTTGACTTGCCGTTTGAATAGTGAACATTTCTTCGGACTCAACTTGAGGTTGGCACTCTTAATCTTCATGAGCACGCGTTCCAAGTTTTGAAGGTGTTCCTCAAACGTACGGCCCACGATGATGATGTCATCCAAGTAGACCAGACAGGCGTCGCCAATTAGCCCGGTAAGTACAAGTTCCATCAGCCTTTCAAACGTTGCTGGAGCATTGCACAACCCAAACGGCATTACTTTAAATTGCCACAGACCCTTTCCCGTCGAGAACGCAGTTTTCTCCTTGTCCTTAGGGTCAATTTCAACTTGCCAGTAGCCACTTTTTAGGTCCAGCGTGCTAAACCACTTTACTCCTGTAAGCATGTCCAGCGTGTCGTCAATTCTTGGCAAGGGATAGCTATCCTTCTTAGTAACGTCGTTCAGACGGCGGTAGTCAACACAAAACCGCAAGCTGCCGTCCTTCTTCTTTACCAGTACCACGGGTGAACACCATGGACTAGATGAAGGTTCAATAACACCATCCTTCACCATTCCCTTAATCATGGTTTCCACTTCCTTTTCACGTGCTACCGGCAATCGTCTTGGCCGCTGACGGATAGGCAACTCTTCACCTGTGTTTATTTTGTGTTGAACTAAACCAGTCTTTCCTATGTCAGCATCGTTTGATGAGAATACATCGGCGTACTCGAGTAACAACTTCTTCGCCTTGACCAATTCGTTCGGGGACAGAACACTGCGACAGTCTTCCAAAAGTGTGGTCACTCTCGTTTCTGAATCCTTGCTGGGGGTCCCACTCGATATATATTGGCACTG